CAATCTCTTTATTTTGACTTTTGCTTTTCCACATCATGTACCCACCCACCTTCCTCACAGCTCCCTGCCTCTTTCCATATACCTTATTCTATGTACTGCACCGGGCCTACATTAGGTGCTAGGGAATAGTCACATATTGTGAATTGCACTTGTCCCTCTGTGTACCTTAGAAGCACAGCAAGCTTGGAGAAAGAAAAAGGTAAGCCCTTCCTATGCTCATTTGTCTGCTGAAGATAGATCATATTCTGAAAAGCAAAGGTGTGCCATTTCCCACCAGTCAGTTTTCAGTGGTTATTTGCCTAAGGGTGCCCTTCTTTCCGGAGTGCCTTATTGCCTAATGACATAGGCTGTTTCCAAGAAATGAGAAACCAGTTCACTAGGCTTAAGGCTATTAAGAATACTTTTCTCCTGCCTTACTGTTGTGTAACACAATAAGGTCAACAATTCTGGTGTTTGATTATATGAAGATTACACTTCCAAGAGTCAAGAGAAAGGGAGAGGTATTCGTTTCATCCTTAACTCAGAAGCTCCTTAGAACTAAAAAGTTGTGAACTCTTCTCAAATTTCTGTATAAAACATTCGTGGTTACTTAATATACCCTCTTGAGTGAAGAGTACTGAAGAAATAATAAGGGAGTTATGTCTCCATCCTGCACATGGGTCTGTACACATTAGTACATTAAAAAACAAAACTTGGGCCCACTGAACTTGGGGCCAGCAGGTGGTATTGTGGTTAGGGCACTGGCTTTCCAAATGGCAAGTCACAGTTCAAATCCTGGACCTGGCAGCTTGAATGTCACATGTGTGTGTGCATGTGTGCCAAAACCCCAGGTGACTAGAGAAGGGATTGTGATGTGGCCATCTTCCCTGGGGGAGGGGGGTAATTTCTCACTGACCCTCTCTAGGGAGTATGTGCACCCTATGATAAAACCTTAAAAAAAAAAAAAACACACTAAACTCATGGATATAGTGAGGGAAAGCTTTCAGTTTAATTGGTTGAGGCAAGCTGCACCTCCTAAGTATGTATGCACTTCATCTTGTCTGTCCTAACAATTAGTCAAATTGAACTCAAAACTAAAAGCAGCAAAGTTTTGTGATTTGGCTGTTTTCAAGCTTTCTCCATTATATTTCTAGGCAACTCACTGATTAGAATTTTTTATTTGTAAAACTAGTTGGTTTTTTATTTGGTCTGAGATTTGATATCCAGCCACTATCTGCCCCTTACCCATGACTGATCTTGCTAAAACTCCCACAGGCTTCCTTTGCCTTAAATAAGGTGAACTTGTAACTACAAATGATGTATTGTTAGCTCAAAGAATTCAATGACAAAAAATTGAAATTTAAACAGATATTCTTTTCTGTTTGAAAGTGCCATCTAGTGGCCAAAGCTTAAGGTATTATTTAATAATTATTTTGTATTAACATAAGGTATTTTTAACATAGGTTCTATTAACATAAGTATTTTTAAAGGGTAATTTCAAGAATTTTGGAGGCTTTAGAAATAGCATTTACATGTTAGACAAAACTTCATGATGTTGGGCCAGCAAATGGTGTAATGGATACACTGCTGGACTCCCATATAGCTGACCACAGTTCGAGTCCCAGACCCAGTGGCTTCAAACACCGGGCGTGTGTGTGTGCATGCCCAAGATCTCAGGAGGAGAATGAAGAGATTGCTGCATGGCCATCCCCTCGGGGATGATTTCTCTCTTACCCTCTCACTGTCTGTCTCTCTGGCAAGCAAGCACAAGCATCCTGTGGCAAAAAACCTCTTAAAAAATAACAAGAAAAACCTTCATGATGTCAAATAGAAAAGAGTAAAAGGCTTGAGATGAATTAGAAATTGAGGCCTGGTAGGGCCAGCTCTCCAGCACAGTGGGGAAGGTAGCCAGATCCCACAGGGCCAACCATGTGGTTCAAGTCCTGGACTTAGAAACTTGAGAAACATGCCAGGCATGTGTGTGTGTGTGCCTAAAATCCCAAAAGGAAGGGGGAGATGGAAGAGAAGGGATTGAGGCATGACCAGTCTCCTTGGGGGGAGGGGTGCTCTCTGCCCTCTGCTCTCACACCCTCTGGGTTAAAAAAAAAGTCTAGTGAACATTCTTGGCCATGAGATAACAATGGACGACTCCCTAAGCCTTAATTTGCTAATGTAAACTGCAGATGCTTATCTCTGAATGATTGTGAAACCATTAAGATGAAGATAAGCTCCCTCCCTCGCTGTGCATCAGTAACTTAATCACATTTGCTTCTCAAGTGAAAGGCTCCCATGCTGCTCTAGGCAGTCACGTTCAAGCACAACTTGCCGCCTTCAAGAACTCCAGAATGAATAGGTTGGCAAGTTTGAAACTCAGGTATGTAGAGTACAGAGATGCGCAGACCTGGTTGGCTTAAACACAAAAGAAAAGAAATAGTACTTCTTGGGGGCGACAGACACCGACATCCCAATTCCCTCAACCATGGGAATGTAGGCTGATTCTCATCAGCTGAGTTGAGCAAACCACCCTCTAGCTTCCTTTCAAAGCCAAAGGCAGTATCAAGATCACTTCTGACAAGCAGTTTTATCTGACCTTCTTACTGACATTTGGGAGGATTTCTTATTCCCAGCTCTCCCTTACCCCTCCACAGTAATAAAATGTGAGTAGAAAAAAAAAATTAAAAAGCACACCTTATACTAGTCTTGCAGAGAATGAAGTACTTAGCTTCTAACTCTGATCTTCAAGGGCTAGAAGATCCTTTGACTTTTTCTGTTGGAGGATTAGTGATAACTACTGTGCCCATCAAAGATATTGCCTTTCCAGAAGCTTCATAGTTTTTATTTTTAACCACCAGGAGGTACCAGGTGATACATAAAGTTCAAGTTTCCCAATCTTGGAAGAATTTATGATGTGATGCCAAGATTTAACACAAGCAAGCTGGGACAGACTAAGAATGGGTTCAGGGAAAACAACTAATTAAACAGGATCACTTTTTTTTTTTTAAGGTTTTTGTCACAGGGTGACAACACAGTGAGAGGCAAGGTGAGAAATCACCCACCCTTCCATCCCCCAGGAAGGGGATGGCCACTCCTACAATCGCTTCTCCAACTGGGATTCTGGGCATGCACGTGCACACACACCTGGTGTGATTTTCAAACCCAGTCTGGAACTTGAACCAGGATCAGCCATGTGGGAATTCAGTGTCTTAACAACCCTACCGCCTGCTGGCCAAAGCAGGACTACTCTTAATGAAAAATTCTACAAGGTCCAAAAAGATTTATGTTACTTCCATCTCTAGTCAACGTTCTCCAAGAATCCACAGTATGTCAAGTGGAAGGCAGCTCAAATCTAGGACCACAAAAGTGAAGATATAACTGACAGGGTGCTCAGGAGCATCAGATCTCCAAAGTACTATCACTGCACTGAAGTATGGATTAAATAAGATTTGCAGCATGAGTGAGCCCAACCATCCCACTCGATTCACTATTATTCCATGAAAATGCTCTGTGCCAAAATGATTTACCAATACTATTAGAAAACTTAAGATCAAGCAATGAAAATCCCATTGTCCTCTAACTTTCAATTTGCAGCCACTGGACTGCAAGTTAAATATTCTGATCCTAGACTGTTTTATTCTTAGCTGTTTACGTAACAAAACTACACCCTCACCTGTTAAGGGAGGCACTAAATGCCATTTTTATAAATTCTATGAACACACACAATCCCTGGGGCTTCTAATTCAGAATTAAAAAAACAACCAGGGGACTAGCAGGTGGCGTGGTAGGTAAGGGCGCAACTCCCGCATGGCTGACCACAGTTGTCTCTCTCTCGCTGTCCCTCTCTGGTCAAATTTAAGTAAAGTTAACTCCAAAAACTAAAAACATGATTTGGATGAATGAGATTTTTTTAGATATGCATTTGTGAAGTCAATTCCTTGGTATCTTCACACACACTGTGTTCTTACTTCCCATTACCTGGGAGGAACTTACACAAGTAAATACTTCCCCTTCAACTGGACTGTGAGGTCACAAAATGGGCAAAATTTCAAAAAAGTCAGATGTTGGAGCCAGATAGCATGGTGGTTAAAGCCCTGCACTCCCATATAGCCCAATATGGTTCCTGTCCCAAACTTAGCAGTTTGCTTGCTTTCTTGTGAGTGTACATGTCCTATTAGCAAATTAAAAAATATATATATTTTTAAAAAATGTTATCTAGGTAAAGGTCTGTGCCTCTCCTTGCAGTTCCATGAAGATAAACATTTACTGTTTAAAAACAGTGACCAGCAGTTGGCGTAACAGCTATGTCACTGAACTCCCATGCAGTTGACTGCGGTTTAAGTCCCAGACCCGGTGGCTTAAACTCACGCTGGGCTCATGTGCATGTGTGTGTGTGCCCAAGATCCTGAGATGAGAATGGAGAAGGGATTGCAGCATGGCCGTCCTCCCAAGGGGTGATTTCTCGCTTTCTGTTTCTCTCTCTCTCTGGTGAGCACACAAGCCCCATGGCAAAAACCTCTTAAAAAAAAAAAAAAAAGCAAAAACAGCCCCAGTAAGAAAAACACCAGAAAAGGAAAGAAAAATGTCCTTTTGTCTCAAATCTACATTATTCAGTCACTTTCAACTCCCATTTCCTTCATGTTTTATTGTCGGTAGGTTTAGTTGAAATATGCTTTAGGGGCTGGCAGGTAGCATGGTGCTTAAAGGTGCTGGACTCCCCACATGGCCGACTGTGGTTCAAGTCCTGGACCTGGTGGCTTCCTTTCTCACTTTCCCTCGCTCTCTGATCAAATGGGAAAATAATAAAGTTAAATAAATAATTCTTAAAAAAAAAAAAAGCATGCTTCCCAAACAAAAAGAAGTTAAAGATACAGGGACCAGCACATGGCATAGTGGTTAGGGTGCTAGACTTCCAGATAGCTGACTACAGTTTGCTTGCTTGCTTGCTTGTTCTCTCTCTGGTCAATATAAGAAATAACAAGTGGAATTAAATAAATTAAATAAAAAAGACATTAGATACACAAAAGTTAAGGACAACTGTTTATTGCTACCAGAGGCTTTTATCATCAGTACACAGTTCTGACTGAAATACCTTTCAGACCAAAGGGAGCTCAGACTCCAAAAGTCATTAAGAGAAATACAGGTAGGCTGGAGAGGCAGGGAATAACTTTTTATCAAGAAAAGCCTAATAGGTTAACAAAAAACTAGGGTACTGAATTCAGTTATTACATGTTACAGACTCAAATCACAGAACTGCCCCAACATCTAGACAGGTTCTCCTACTGATTATAAATGAGTGAAAACTGATCAGTTACAAAAAAGTCCAATTTTAGTTACATGTGTTTCTTTGGTGGATATATTAACTTTATCACAAATTCTTTTATACAAATGTGGAAAATGCTTCCAACAAATCTTAATTACGTGTCCTAATTACATGCCATTTTTAATCTTTTTATCAAGTTATTTTGTTTTTAAACTTCAAAAAACTGAAATGAGACAAAATCAACATGGTAATGTGAAAACTTCCTATTCCACCTCTGATTCATGTGGGACAATTCCGAAGTACCCTCTTCAAACTCACTGGAATTACAGTCATGGATTAAACATGGCTGCCACACTGAAATAATTTGTTCATTAACTTGCTAAGAAATAATTTAGAGGGTTTCCGATTCAGTGGACATTGGAGTATATATCAACATGCATAAAATTCATTAAGTATTCAATGAAGCAAGCAAAAGCAACAGGGAAGTTAAATCAGGATGCTGGGGACAGGGCTTTTCTAGGTATAAATTTTAAAACTTTAGCAGGAAGAGTGGAAAAGAACTTTAAAAAATTTTTTTGGATACTTGAAACTTTTTTGTTATTATTTTGGTCTTTAAATGTTTAATGTTGAATTATAATTAGACGCACAAGTACATGAGGGTTTTCCCCTCTCTGGCTCACTTTCAAATCAGCCTGATAAGGTACAATACATTCCTCATATAAGGTACTGTTCCCTCCCTGGTTTTGTATGTTCTCATTCCCAGAGTAGTCTACCTTAGTTTGCACTTGAAGGTAACAACATTGAAACTACATGACAGAAACAGGCTGCAAAGGTGGACAAGGGGAAGCATGTCCCTCTTGCCTTGATAAATCAGTGCCACACACAGAACCCACATTGTCTGCAGCATTATCTTCATTATATAGCCGTTTGATTCCATCGTAGAAATCATCCACTTCCATTTCCTCCACTTTGCGTTTGGCAGAGGTATGTTTGCACCCCATGGCAGCTGGGAGATGATGGTAGAAGGCTGCTGTACCTCTGACTGGCACTTCTGGATTGCTGTTGTCCTTGGAGATGTCTGGGCCTGGGACAGAGGAGGGATGTAATCTGAACACTCCTCTGTCACAGGTCACCAGGGTGTGCTTGAGGGGACGGTAGACATAAACAGAATTTAGAGGCAGGGATGATGGCAGAGTAGAAAGGTGATGTGCCACAAGCTCCCGACAGTGGATCAACTGGGAGCTATCCATCTGGGTCAGGGAAAAGGAAAATAGATTAATTGATGTAAGCTACCCTCTCATGGTTGCTGGCCACTTTTCTTCGTGCCCTCCTGTTCCCTCAACCTTCTTTTCTCTCTTCACATCTTCTACCTCAAACTTAACTATTTCCTCCATAATTCTTAGACATTATATCCAAATCTGTATTTCTATTATACAGCTCCTTGGAACCTGAATTCTGTATTTGCAATTGTATACTACAAACATACACGAGAGCAGACATATTCTCTTTTGGTCATTACTATTATATACCCAATGTCTCCTTTTGGTCTATTCCCCCTTGTCTAGAAGGCCCTTCATTCCACCTTTTTTGATTTCTAATTTCTTCAGGAGACCAAAGTACAGATAAGTATAAAATGTATTAAGAATTTAAGAAAGAATAGCCAGAAGGTGGCATAGTGGTTAAGGTGCTGGACTCCCACATGGTTGTCGGTGGTTTGAGTCCCACGGCTTAAAATTCATGCCAGGCCTGTGTGCATGCATGCCCAATTTTTAAGAGGAAAATGGAGAATGGATTGAGGCATGGCCATCCCCCCAGGGGGTGACTTCTCACTTTCTCTCTGTCTCTGGCAAGCACAAGCACCCTATAGCAAAAATCTCTTCTCAAAACAAAAAAAAAAATTAAAAATGAAAAACTTTTTAAGAATCTAAGAAAGATGCCAGAGGCAAGGAAAAACATATATATAAAACACGTGTACACACACAGACACACATACATGTATTTTATATATGCACACATATGTATACATATATACACATGTATGTGGTGTGTGTATATACACACATAAACACACAGACCAGATACACACAGACCCCTTAGTGATGAGGAAGGTTGTCTGGCTAGAAATCTGCAACTATTTTACTTTTAAAACAGTAAATGAGGGAACCAGCAGTTAGCGTAATGGCCATGTCACTGGACTCCCACGTAGTCGACTGCGGTTCGAGTCCTGGACCTGGTGGCTTGGAACTCATGCCGGGCATGTGTGCGTGTGTGCCCAAGATCCCAAGAAGAGAATGGATGAGAAGGGATTGCGGCATGACCATCCCCCCTGGGGGG